GATGTAGATCTTCATTCACCCCTTACTCCCTAGGGAGGGCGCCATTTTGTGATTCACCTCAGGTGCCAAAACGTCTTGGGCTGCCCCCAGATCCTCACAGAGAAATAAGCAACAATAACTTACACATTGTGACAAAAAAGGGGAGAAGGAATGCATCACAAAAAAAATGACAACAGAGGACACAGCCATGCATAAATTTGCATTCACTAGGGGTTTTTTTATGTATAGATGCAAATACAGAAAGTATTCTGATTTAAGTAGCAATGCAATGCATCTCACCAGAGTGGCGAAGGCTGTGGACAGGTGACCTGTGTCAGCCACAAAATTATGGACCCTTGGAGTGGTATTATCCTCTTGAATTGAGTAACTTCTTTGGAGAAATAAGCATTCCTTCTACCTGTGAAAGCTGCATTCAGGCCCTTGAAAGTCTTTTGAGGTGTTATAATCAGAGGAAGTTCTTCAAAACAGAACCTTATCCGGAAGCCTGTCATCAGCTGCTCAGAGTATCTTCAGTACAACAGTAGTAATTTTTGTGCTCTGTGGTTCATTGTAAGCCTTGGTGAAATGTATTATTTGCCAGCGTACTGATAATTGCCAGCTATTTAGACTAGAGCACTCTTCAGCAATTTTTGTGCTGTTTGGTTCTTTGTAAGCCTTGCCAGAATATACACTTTGAACTTGTATTGATACTTTGTCTATTTTAGTGCAAAAGCCTTTTCATTATCAATATATTGTTGTTTCTTATCAGGTGTCTTTCGGCATTTTTTTGTGGTCGTTACACAGAACTGTGCTTTTGTATAAGATTTTTATTTGCTTGTTTGTTTCAAGCGAGCTGTGTGCCTGCTTACTCTGCTTTCCAGGTGATAACTGCAGCTGAGAAGCCTCACGTCTTTTTTTTATTCCAACCTTTAAACTGGACTTGCACTGGGCAGCCCTTCAAACAGAGAACTCTCCTCTGTAAAGCAGCCCACCTTAGAGGGAAAGCAGAAGTAAACTGGGAAGAATTATGCAAGTCTTTCAGATGAGGGCTTCAGTACAGATTCCCATCAAGCTTTGTGGTGTGTTTTGGTTTGAACAGCAATGCTGTGGCAGATAAGGTGGCCTGGGGTTCACTGGACACATGTAGGCTGGACTTAAACTGGATCTGTCCATTGTAGATCTTTTTCTTATCCCAAATTCAACACACATCCTGAATTCAACATATATATTTAAAGCACACTGCTTCTCCCAAAGAATCCTGGGAGCTATACTTTACTCCTATGTGTCCCACCACCCTTAACAAACTACATTTCCCAGGAGTCTTTGCAGGGGAAACCATGTGCTTTAAATGCACATTAAATGTGTGTTAAAGGTCTGGTGTGGATGTGGCCTTAGAGCAAGAGTCAGCAATTTTTTTCAGCTGGGGGCCAGTCCACTGTCCCTCAGACCTTGTGGGAGGCCAGACTATGTTTTGAAGGGGGGGAGAAGAAGAAGAAGAGGAGGAGGAGGAGGAGGAGGAGTGGTTTGGATTTGATATCCCGCCTTTCACTCCCTTTAAGGAGTCTCAAAGCGGCTAACGTTCTCCTTTCCCTTCCTCCCCCACAACAAACACTCTGTGAGGTGAGTGAGGCTGAGAGACTTCAGAGAAGTGTGACTAGCCCAAGGTCACCCAGCAGCTGCAGGTGGAGGAGCGGAGACGCGAACCCGGTTCACTAGATTACGAATCTACTGCTCTTAACCACTATACCACACTGGCTCTCCTATGCCCCACAAATAACCCAGAGATGCATTTTAAATATAAGCACACATTCTACTCATGTAAAAACACCAGGAAGGCCGCACAAATAACCCAAAGATGCATTTTAAATAAAAGGACACATTCTACTCATGTAAAAACACGCTGATTCCCGGACCGTCCGTGGGCCAGATTTAGAAGGTGATTGGGCCGGATCTGGCCCCCGAGCCTTAGTTTGCCTACTCATGACTTAGAGCTTGTCTCCTTCCCCAGGAAGACTTAAGCCATTGTGTGGCATTGGGGGGGGGATCATTGGGGGCAGCTTCTATTTCTTGTAGCAGAGGTCCCAGTGAAGGAAGTACTTACCTAATTGCCTCCTTTTGCAGTCTCTCTCCATCAGCAATGGAGCGCCTGAAAGGCAGGGGACTGGGGACAGAATCCTGACCACGAGGACTTTGCATGTAAAGATTTGACTTTTGATAAACAACAAAGTAGACTAGTGCTGCGCTAGCTATTTTTAACCCACCTTGTGAGTGTGCTTTTTTTATTGCTTTATACAGCATATCTGATTCCCTCTAAAGCACAAACTAAAAAATCTATCCGGCTGTCATTTGCTGCATAGTGCCATCTATCATCATGCATCTTGGCAGTTCCAGTGCATGAGAGAGAGAGGAAGGGGAGTTGAGACAGGAGGCACAGTCAAGGACTTTCACATGTAACAATGGGGGAGGGAAAAAAAACTTGTCACAATTATTTATGACTCTTGCTGGGGCACATAATAGGACACATAAAACCTCTGTTTCAGTTTCAAGCACCCTCACATCCCTGCTCCCTTGTTGAAGTTGGTCGCAGGCAGTTTTTGCTTTACACATACAATTTCCTGAACAATGCCGAACACTTGCGAAGTGACAGTGACAAATACAAAAGATGCCGGCTGCAGCTCCCTGGGCTGTTAGGAGAACGTCGGTGTCAATAATCGAGGAGGTGTGCCAATGATACCCAAATGCCAGCGTGGGAAGCCACTTCCTCTGCCAGCCATCTTCAATGCACACACACACACGCCACAATTTATCTGAGGGCCTGAAATTAGGTGATCCAGCCAGAACCAGCCCTGCTATGGGGCAGACCATGAGGAAGCAGCTGCCCCATGAGGAAAGGTTGGAACATTTGGGGCTTTTTAGTTTGGAGGTGAGCAAGGGGCAAAATTGTATAAAACCGTATACAGTGGTACCTCAGGTTAAGAACTTAATTCTTTCCGGAGGTCCATTCTTAACCTGAAACTGTTCTTAACCTGAAGCACCACTTTAGCTAATGGGGCCTCCCACTGTCGCTGCACCACCGCCGTGCAATTTCTGTTCTCATCCTGAAGCAAAGTTCTTAACCCAAGGTACTATTCTGGGTTAGTGGACTCTGTAACCTGAAGCGTCTGTAACCTGAAGCATCTGTAACCCAAGGTACCACTGTACAATTATTCATAGCATGGAGAAAGTGGGTAGACAAACGTTTTTCTCCCTCTGTAGAACCATAACACTAGAACCGGGGACACCCGGTGAAGCTGACTGTTGGAAGATTCAAGACCGACAAAAGAAGGTTCTTCTTCACCAAGTGCAGAGTTAAGCTATGGCATTCACTCCCACAAGGGGAACTGATGGCCAGTGGGTGCCAGCCTGGATGGCTATTGAAATATACTTGGAGTCGAGTGTGGATTTCATGCTCTTTACTCAGCTCATAGTAGTGAGGAATGGAACTTCCCCCGAAATGTCTGCTTTATATACAATATTTACACAATGGGCCCCACATGATTGGCTAGTTCCGGGATTCTCCTGTAGGCCAGTCAGACTGCTGCATTCTGGATCCTATTGTTCTAGGGACAATCAGACGGCTGCATTCTGGATCCTATTGTTCTAGGACCAATCAGGCTGCTGCATTCTGAATCCTATTGTTCTAGGACCAATCAGACTGCTGCAATTTGGATCCTATTCAACTCAGTACATAAGAGCTATAAAAGAGGATTAAGCAAATTCATGTTGAATAAGGACATCAGTGGCTGCTAACCATGGTGGGTGTGTTCTACCTCCACTGACGGAGGCAAGATGCTTCTTAATACCAGTTGGTGGAAACCATGGGTGGGAAGAGGGATGTTGCACTCAGGTGTTGCTTGTGGGCTTCCCATAGGCATCGGGTTGGACACTCTTGAGAACAGGATGCAGGCCGGATCTTGCAGACTGTTCTTAATGCTCCTTTGACTGCTGTCATCAGCAGCCTGGTCACTTATGGCAGCAGAAGCGGGGCTGCAGGCTGGCATGGCAATTGGGCCCAGATGTGGCCGTGTGTCAGCTGTGAGAACAGCTCAGGATCCAATGAACTCTCCTTTATTGGAAGGTTTTTCTAAACAGAAGTTGAATGGTCATCCGTCAGGGATTTTTAGTTGCTGTCTTGTAGAGGGCTAGAGTAGATGACTCTTGGGTCCCTTCCAACTCTACAATTCTGTGGTTCTATGCTAGAGAGGGTTTCGCGGCAAAGTCTCTGCGGCATTTTGATGGACTCATCAAAAGCCGAAGGCCATGGTGGCAATCACTCTTTTAGTACCTACAGCTTTCATTACTGGTGTTACAGTTCTTTCACGTGTTCTAAAAAGACATGCTAAGCCGAAAAAGAGAACCAAAAGCACAATTGATGTAGATGCATGTGGGTTTGGGTCTCAATGTTCATCCTTGAACTTGCTAGGTGTTTCTAATATGCAAATATTTATTTGGGACCAAGAACTTGCACACAAGAAAATACAAATTGAACCATGACTGTGCTGCCACAGCTCTCCAGAGTTTCAACCAATCAATCATTTTATTTGTATTCCACCATTCCAAAGTTAAAACCATGCTCAAGATGGCTTAAAACATAAAAAGTGGTGATATACAATAAACAAAACATTAAAAATGCACAGCCAAATTGAACAATTGCCATAAAAACCATAAGATACAAAAGAAAGATACAAAAACAACAGCAGAAACACACACATACACACACACACACACAGAGAGAGAGAGAGAGTGAGAGCAAAAATCCCTAAACACTACCCCAGCCCAAGATTCTGTTCAGTAGTCTCAGCTTTGTAGCTGGAGTCAGTCCAAGCCCTGCTCTCCACCCTGCCAGGTGGGAAAAGGCCTGCAAGGGTCTTCCAGGACTCATAGCTAACATGGCTTCTGGCCTCTTCAGCAGCCTCAGCTTTTGTAGCTGGAGTCAGTCCTGGGCTGACCAGTTTCAGGCAGGGGCTTCTCCCAGACCTACCTGGAGATACTAGGGATTAAATCTGGGACCTTCTGTATATAAAGCAGATGCTCTCCCACTGAGCTATGTTCCTTCCCCGTCCATGCACACATCTGAGATCGTGATTAGCCTCATTTAGAGCGTTCCATTTCCCCAACAACTGCTCTGCATTTGATATCCATTCAACAGCTTTCTCATGGTTCATTCTGCTCTTATTAGTAAAAGTATTCAGTTGTGAAGCTTTCACAAAAGAATATACCTGAACTGCTCACAAAATTGCAATGAATTGTGTGCATAAATTTGGTATATAGGCACACTCTTTTTTTTTTGCAAGTGCATTAGCATTCTTAACAGATTTTGATAATCTGTGATCATAATCCATTTTCATGATGCCGTAAAATAACATGCAAGCTGAAATAACAACACATTCTTTTTTTATGTTGCTCGAAAATGTAATTCCCTTTCCCTCATTTCCAAATATATTACTGTCGCATAACTTGCATTGCAGGAGATTTCCTGAAAGTGGACTATTGAAAGCTTCAGGGATCTGCAAAGATTTTATCTCCCATCAAATATATACTTACTTTTCACATTGCTTATGAGAAAGATAGACCAATTTCCCAAAGTAAAAGAAAAAAGAAAAAAAGTTATTTTTAAACAGACACTTGAATGATTTGGATTAGATTCCCCCCCCCCAAAAAAATTATTATACAAAACTTCCAGCTCTGTTTGGAACCTTCCCGCCCCCCGCAATCCCCGCCACCGCCAAAGATACCACAGGATATTCTTTGTCTGAGATTATGACACCAATTTAGCAAGATGTGGCAAACATACAGCTACCAAGGAAATAGTTCCTTAGCAACAAGGAACCTATTGACAAGCCTCAGCACAGAACCCATTTTCATTCCCATACCATGTTGCTTCTAGGTTTTCTCTCTCCACCCCCCTTCCCCTCCCAGTTCTTTATGGCAGGTGCACAAATGTGATATCAAAAAGCCAAATCCTGCTTTTGGATGAACGTGAACATGAGCGGAGATCATGCACACTTTTCTGAAAAGAGAATTAAGCTTCAAATGGGACTACTTCACGATCCAGACCAGGGGTAGGCAACCTAAGGCCCAGGAGCCGGATGTGGCCCATTCGCCTTCTCAATCCGGCCCACAGACGGTCTGGGAATCAGCATGTTTTTACATGAGTAGAATGTGTGCTTTTATTTAAAATGCATCTCTGGGTTATTTGTGGAGCATAGGAATTCGTTCATTCCCCCCCCAAAAAAATATATACTTCTGCCCGAAACATAGTCTGAGGCACAGTGGACCGGTCCATGGCTGAAAAAGGTTGCTGACCCCTGATCCAGATTGTTGCCATTTTTGCGTAGTGGTCAGACACATACTAGCAAATTCAGGTTGTGCAGTTAAAGTTTATATGGCACTCTTGTGTGTGTGTGTGTGTGTGCGCGCACACACACACACACACACACACACACACTTCATATCCCCACAAACCAGACTTTTTGCAGTAAGGAAAGTGAGCGGGAAATGCACGGGAAAGAGTGGCCTATCACCTGCTTGGTGGAACATCGTATTGCCTCCCTACAAGCAAATCGGAAAGAATGCCCAATTAATAGCCATCCTCATCTAACCTTCCCACAAACTTTGTGCAAACAAATCAGGGCAAGTGCTCAATAAACAGGTCACCTGACCCTACAGCTCAGGCCCTTTGAACCTTTGCATTTTATTATTCATCCAGGGCTCTTCTTCGTCACTGTGAGCTATTTCCCCTTTCCATCTGTCAAAGGGCTGATGCAATGATAAATACACAGCCCAGCCAAGGGCCTGTTTTTGAAAAGTTCATTTTTGCATAGCCCATAACAATCCTATGAGTTTGGGGCAGGGCGTAGCTTTCTGTAACTATGCACAGGCAAGGGGTGTTCTTGAACAATGTTTTGACAAACAGCAGCAAGCAGCAAATGGGAAACACACTTTTAAAAGGTATATAGCTGTAGGAAGCTGAGGCATGTGCAACTTCATTTCCTTACCTTGATGTCTGGGAGGGGGGGAGCTTTCCCCGCTCCCTTGCCTCCTTCGCTCTGTTGTTTCCCTGTGATGCCCTGGGGGACCTTGAAGTTTGCAGAAGTACAAAAAAGGGGGAGGGATGGGGGGGTGCCTAAGGAGCAGCAGGACCCAAAACAGGGAATTGAGGACCAAGCATGTTCAGTGGCCACAGAACACTGAGAATCTGTTGGGTGGTGGGGAGGAAACCTGAAGGAAGGATATGGAATAGAGTATGCTATAAAGGGGCACAGGTGGTTCACTGGCTGGAGCCCTGCACAGGACCATTCCACTCTGTGACATTCTGCTGCAAGTCCCATGTGTGTATACGAACAGCAAACTTCAGTTCAAAAGGAAAGCAGGGCCATCCCAGAGCAAGATAGTAGGCCTGCGTCCTTGGGCGACTTTAGGAGGCGTGAGGAGAGGGAGGAACTGCTGTGGCCCCCTCCTGATAGTGGCAATGCTGTCACTCCCTGGGGTTACAATGGAGTGTAACTAGGCAGCTGAAAGGCTGGGGTGCTCTGGCCTGGATGCAGCCAGTGGTGGAAGAAGGGGAGTGCGTGGTGTGTGGACCACCCCGGGTGTCATCCCTGAGGAGGGTGACAAAATGACAAAAATATGAGTCTCAATACATAATTTTAAAAAATGGTGCCCACAAAGCTTTTTAGTTCAGTCAACAAATGTGATGAAATGTGGCTGGCACTGGGCGCCACACCGCGGGGGCCAGCAGTTACCGTGGGGCCTGCAGCGTGCCCAAGCCACATGTCTCTCCTGGGAGTGATGTGTTGGCTTGAGTGCCTGCTGGCTCCACACTGCCTAAAACGGCAGCGTGGGACTTGCGCCTGCCCTCTGCCTCTCCCTCAGCCGCCCTACAGCTGAGGGGGAGGTGGTGGAGAGGCTCCACGCAGCACGCTCCGCCCCTGGCTGCTGGATGCGTGCACCGTCCCCGGCACCCGAGCAGCTAGCTATGCTGCTGGATGGAGTCTGCTAGATGAGCACACATTTGTGGGATAACATTGCCACCAGCTCCTTCCTGACAGATGGAGTGCCACTGCTACCAGGAGAGTCTCGCTGCTGTTCCAGCCCAACTCACACACCATCATGCATCACTGCTAGGTATAAATCAGTTTGTTTCTAAATTAAAGGAAAAGGTGAAAACCTCAAAGCCAACGAGGACTGTGTGTAAGATGTGTTTATGTGCTTGCCACCCAGTGGCCAAAAGGCAAAAGTATTTCATGGGGAAATATTGGAACTGAGCGTGCTCCAGGCTTGTGTTCTTGGGAGTCGTTCCAAGATGGTTGCCAGCCTGAAAACTGTACAACGAGAACCAGGAAATAAAAACAGTTATCCGTTCATCTTGCTGGTGTAGCCTATATACATAATAGCAAGCTCAGTGGTCTCTGAGAATGTGGCTAGCTGGCACCTAAACAAGAGGGAGGGAGGATATACTGCAACATTTTGTTGTAGGATGACTCTCCATGCTCTGCCAATGGACTATGGGCTGTTCGCTGAAATATCTGTGAATGCATGCCCAGGGTAGCCAATGTGGAGCCCTCCAGATTATAGCACTGGATTCCAGTTGCCAACAGCCCCAGGCAGCAGGGGATGATGGGAGCTGTAGTTCAGCAACATCTGAAGGGCACAACATTGGCAAACTCTACTGCATGCCTTACCGAGGGCTATTTCCGTGTTCTGTCTTATTGCGACCCAAATCGCTGCACCCTTTTTCTGGATTTCCCATTTCCACTAGTGTCTCTGTCTGTCTTTTAAGCCACCATGCTGGTGATAGCTCTGAGGTAGCTGATTGCAGTACTGCTCTCTAGAGGACTTCTTCTTGCATGGAGCACTTTGTAGAGACAGTTTGAATATTTTTCATTCTTCTTTGTCGACTTTATGACATCAATTTAGCAAGACATGGCAAGCATACAGCTACCAGGGAAATAGTTTCCTTAGCAACAGGGAACCTATTAACAACTCTCTACACAGAACCCACTTTAACCCCAAACCATGTTGTCTGCTTCTGGTTTTTTCTTCCTGTTTTCTTCTGTCCTTTTCATGTAACTGAAAATTTCGGTCTCAAATGTCCCCTCTTTTAATGCAGAATTTGATGTCTAGATTTTTTTTTTTAATGTTTATGTTAGAGAAACCAGCAAACAAAAATCTAGTGGCAAACGCCCAAATGGTTGTGTTTTGTTTTGATATATTGGAAACATAACAAATGTGATCTTGTTGATTCAAAGAATGAACCACGATGTAAGCATTTCCAAGAAAAGAATACATCCCATTTGTCGTTACTTTGCGTTTTGAAAATGTTAGGATAAATTAAATGATCAATTTGGTGGGTTGGGTATTATTAAAGACACTTATAAACCTCCTTTTAGGGTAAGACCCTCACAAGGCAGCAGGGCTGACCCTCTCACTAGGTCACACATGTTAAGTATAGTGATTTAATTTACTGAAAATTGGGAATGCTTAGATGCATGGCTGTAATTCTTGAATGTTCCCCAGCAACTCTCGTGTGTGGGTGGTTAATTTTGGTCACATGGGAGGTATCTTCTTACATTCTCCTTTTTGGATTTTGTGTGTGAGTGACTTGACTGTAATGGCTGCATCTCCACGAACACTGAAGGAAAGACTGTGTTAGATAACACTCTCCTGTTACTGTGTGAATGTATGTGACAGAGAGAAGTACAGCAGTTGATGTTCTCCCAAAGCAGCAGTGGGAAGGAGAAAGTGGAAACCTCTCAGAAGGAACCGCATGCCCTCGCTGGGTTATGTGTGGAAGGCTGTGTGCAAGCACTGGAAAGAGAAGAAGACACAGTTTGCTTGAATGTTCAAGGAAGAAGCTGTAATCTCCAACTGAGAAAAAATAAGCCCGTGCTTGGATAAGCATGCGAATGTAAATTCTTGGCATATACCGTATTCTTCTTTAGCTATATGTTCTGCAAGTAAAAGCTTTTGAATATTTCATCAAGTGTTTGGACATCGTTTTAATTTCAAGGAAAGACTCAGCATTGCACATCATTTGGCTTCCTAGCTGCAATTTAGCTACTCTGCCAATGGAGCAAGGCATTTACCTCAGGCAACGTCCGTGGCAGCAGTAGCCTTGGTCATTCCTCCTGAGCTCCCTGGCTGTCCAGTTCCAGTCTAGTTGAAAAACCCTAAGAAGTGGGAGCAGGAGCCTCAAAGTACCCCGTCACCTGAACAGTAGACTGAGCAGGCACAGGGGTCACCTATTCAATATCCATCACTATGGTGAGTTGCACTGCATTCCTATTTAAATAATGGCAATTGTTTCTACATTTCCTCTCTTGTTCTTCTCTTCAGTGATGTGTTTTCTCTTTTCAACAATGCGCCAGTTACCATGATATTCCAATATGGACCGCATTGAATCATTGGACATCTGGGAAACATTAATGGCAGGGGAGGCAAGCCTCAGGCTCAGAGGCCGAATGTGGCCCTCTGGGAGTCTCTGTCTGGCCCTTGAAACTGTTCTCATGTCATACCCATCAATGGCCCTGCTTCACACATTTTGGCCTGTCCAGAATGTTCCCTGGTACTCTCAAAATGTCTCTTGCTTGTCCAGTTGGAGGGTGGAGAGAGGGGTATGTAGAAGTTAGCCTACAGCACAAAGGTCCAATTCATAGCTGTTGCCCCGCCCACTTTTGCTTCTGGCCCTGCCCACCTAGGAGGGAATGCAGAGCTCAGGCTGGAAAAGATTCCCCACCTCTGATTCCCCACCTTATTGGCTCATTTTGATCTTACAATAATGGATTTTGAGATGTCTTTGACCCAAGGACAAAGTCCCTCAAATAGAATCACAGAATCATAGAAATGTAGGGTTGCCAGGGACCCTGAGAATCATCTAGTCCAGCCCCCTGTTATTAGACATTTACTAAAACCGACAACATTTATGTTTCAGTTTCCAAACATAGGTATTTTTGCACTGATACTTTGAGATTTGTGGCCCATTACAACACAGATATCAGATCATTTGTGCACAATTGTAGTAAAAAATGAGACCTCCCTACCTGTGGAAGAAACCATACCCTGCAGGCAATACCTGTGCCTGTGACATTAACATCTGAAGTATGAGAAAAGAGATCCTGCAGAAATCAACTTTTGTCTTGAAACATTTCCATAAGCCCTGTTTAAACCCAAAGGGGTTTACTCATGAACAGGAACACTCTATAACTGTCTTTAAACTGATTCTGCCTTTCGTCCCACAGAAAGCTAGGGAATAGTGTTCTGCAGTGAAAAACATCTATCAAAATAGCTAAACCTGTTGGCTAGAGGCATTGCTATTTTGTTTTGAGAGGAAAGCTCTGAATATTCAGATACTTGAACTTGTGTTGGCCGTCCAAGAACTTTCATCTCTTGCTGTTAAACTGTTTCATTTAAATTGCTATCTCAGCAGCCCCCTGTTGAGTGTCTATTTTATTCTG